ACAGGTTGCTATCGATCTAAATATACACATCGCTGCGTCATGATAAGTCGTAATCCTTCAGTCATTAGTCTTCTGATTCCGGGTTTTTTCTCGCGCAGCCAGGAATACTCCTTCTGACGAATGCAGGGAGCACCGAGACAACGTCGCAAGCGTCAAACGACCGGTTAGCGTGTTTGACACCTCTCCGGAGAAGTGTCAAACACGCTGACCTCTCGACCAGCCATCGGTACGAATTGTAGTCGAGATTCGGGAACAGCGTGTTCGACCTTGAGGCTGGAATGTATTATTATTTATTATAATAATAATATTACCTACTTATTACTGAATTTCTTGGGATCGGACCTTCCTATCACACTGGGAAGAGTATGCATGGAAATTCGAGGTTTTTTCGTTGAACACCCCGCGGGGAACGGATTCCGCTGAGGGGAGCTCCGTGAGAGCACCGATGCCACGAGAAGTGTGCCTTCAGGACGATCGTTGCCACCGAGTCAATGTGCCTGTGTTTTCCTATGGCACCCTCCTTCTTGCTTGGCAACACGCCCATTCTCTACGTGATGCTGATCGCTTGATATCGCCTTTTTTCATTCTCGAGTTCGTACGAAATTTCGGCTGATGAGACGAAAACGGTCTCAAGACTCTTCTCGAGGATATCGCTTTCTCGTCTTCGAGAAGGATAGAAGGGGTAATATGGCACGGCCCAGCGGAGGCAACCTGGTGAGTGTTCTCGACCTCCTCTGATAGCCTTCGCCTGTATATGGAGTTGAAGTAGTACTGAGTGAGAGACTGCTTACGTTTCTAATTATGCCGAGATGTCCCAGAGGTCACACGTCCCCTTTGCAGTGGCAAACTCGATGCTTCCTCTGATTCTGCGACTCGAGCTACGACGAGAAGTCGTTGATGAGGTCGAGGAACACGATGCCGCTCAACATCTACCGTCTGGTGAGAGATCAGCGAGAAGTTTCGAAAAAAAAACTGACATTCGGGTCAAGATGTATATGTCAGGGAGCTCTGATGCCGGGGGACGAAGCCCACCTTGAGGAACTCACTCCGAGAAAAAGAGTCCATCTCAAGGTCGGGCAAACACACGAGTTCTCAAGTTGGGAAGCTCCGGTATTCCGTTGTCTGGACTACGAGTTGAGGACGAGGTACATCAACGAGATGATAATGTGTGAACTTGGATCGGGCTTCCTGGATCAGGAGAGAGATTCGCCGTTCCCTACTGGCTGGTGAATTTTATTCGTTGAAATATTCTTTTCCGAAATATTGGCATGGGAAATGGCGGATGATTGATCGACATTCTCCCGAGAGCGCCCTTCCTCCAGGTATCCTCTCGTCGCGTGTGTTATGCCATTCTTCTGAGAGTCGATTTCTTTTTGAGGAGCGGAAGATTTTATGGCCGCCTCCCAAAATCTCTTGACGTCGACGGGTTCGCTATGAGCCGACTCCTTCAGGTGTGGTTTCCAGCTCTCTCCGACAACCGTCGAATGTTCTTGTCCGACTTCAAGATGCGAGGCTCACATCAACTCGTTCACTCTTCATTTTCATAGAGCGAGAACACAGAGAGCTCCAGCCCTCTCCCCCGTCGGCGGCTCGATCACCGTGAATAAACCAATGATGACCAATGAAAGGTTCCCCGAAAATCATCGCTCTGAAGTTGAAGACGTTCCAAGAAATCAAATCTTGAACTTCACACCTTGTTTGCTCTGAATGGGGTGCTCAACGCCCGTGCACCCTGAGAAATGAAGGGTTGACCGGCGGTTGACTTATCGCTACTGGGTGCGAGCGACTATAATTTTGATCGTTTTCGGCGGCTCTAGATGTCGCTTCCGAATGACCTCACGCCTTCTTCCACACCGCTAAACCAACGTACATGTACGGCTTCCACACGTGTGTATTTGAGTTCGTAATTGCATCCGGGGTCGTTCGGTGTGGACACACGTCCGAAAAAGTGCCACCGAATGTGACAAAGTGTAGGGGACACACGGCGTGGCGGCGGCAATCGATCCGGGCGGTGAGACACAAACAACGGGGCTCTCGTCCAGCGATGCGACTTGCTGTTAGGCGAACAGAATCTTCATTCGATGACCCGGGGTTTCATATCCCCGGGTTTGAACTCATTAGAGCGGGATGTGAGAACTCGGAGTTCGAATCGGACAGCCTCCTCTGTCCAGCTCGATGAGGGTGGGAGGTGGAGTCGTCCTGGATCGGGCGTTCCTCGAGAGCGGAATGTGTTGGAGGAGGGCTCAGTCTCCATCGGTAGCACGTATCGTTCCGCTGAATTTTCCAGTGCACCGAACTAGGATCCGGGAGCATTCCATGAACTCACTCAGAGTCGATCTTGAGATCGCAGAATCTTGGGATACCGTCGCGGAACCCCATCTAAAACTTTGTAATACCCGCAACGCTTTCAGCGATCCCTGGCCGACGGAGAGCGAAAGGGTTGGCGCGCGAAGACCGAAGTTCATCGGAGTCCGGAAAATTAATTTCCTCTCCGTTGTTATTTCAAGTCCCCGACTGAGGCTCGACTTTTTTTTTCGGAGTTCAATCCAGAGTTCCGAGTGTTAGCGAAGTTCGTGACTATCCGACGCCTTCGCGCTTGGGCTCAGATTGGGAAGAGGCTTTGTTTCGATTTCGGGTTCAATTCTCGCCGGTCTCGAGGACTTTTTCTTAGTGGAGGGAACTCCGCAGTCAACATCCGTCGAGATGAACTTTTCGACCTCTGCTGCGTTCGGAGCTGCAAGCTTGACTCGGATAGTGCTTAATACTTTTCTTGGAATGAATTACCCCCGCGCTCTCCCCGGGGGCTCGAAACCCTGCTCTCCCACGAGCGCAGTTCTTCCGGGAATTTCGGGGATGGAATCCCCAGCAGCACCGAGATGAGCCTGTGGTAGTATCGTAATTCTTGATGCTGATCGTTAAATTCCCGCTCATTGTGGGATACATATTGTTACATACCAGACTTTTGCTAGAACGACCTCTATGCACTGGTGGTTGTCTCGCCTGAGCCGCCGCAGCCACTCTGTTCTTTATCAGTCTTTCTTTATAGTTCTCGATCCTTCTCTCTCTCTTCTACAAATACTCATCTACGCTAGGATCATTAATTTCGCTGCGATCGGAACTGGTTCAACGGCACAGATGCGCTGGCTGGCTGTTTCTCTGCTCGCGCGACCCCTCTCCCCATTTTTTCATCAATAATTCTCGATCTCTCAAGATTCTATTCGTTCATGACAAGAAACACTCAGAAAACAGACTACAACAAGCGTTGGGGGGAGGAGAAGTTCGTCCTGCTCGAGACCGGTGGGGATCTTTCCGATCCGTGCTTTCACGTCGGCTTATTTCCTGTCTCGATTATCCCAGATCCGCAATGTCTCGTAGGAAGAACATTCTGCGGCTCGATACAGCGACGGGGTTCGAGTGAATTCGATCGCTGGGAATCGGCAGGAGTCAGATCGTACGCGCGATTTGGAAACTCGGCGAAGTGGAATTTGAATTACCTAGCGGTTCCACTTCTCTGGTGCAATACGTAATCGTGCCGTGTTTTCTTCACACCGCCGATGACAACACCTCAGTCGTGTGTGTTGTGTGAGCCCGCGCATCTCTCAATCAGTTGGGATACATACGCTAGCGCCACCGTCTTCTTGTCAGAAATGCATTCTCGACGTTCGTCTGTTCATTCGAGTGAACTCATCGAAATGCTTGAAATTTTCATTGAGAATTCGTGAGAATCGAATACTTGGCTCCCGGCCTTTGAGAGGATGCTTGACGATTCCGATACCGAGGAGCGGGATGGACGCTCCCTCTGTGACCAATCAAACGATCCGTCAACTCCGTTTCTTATGCTCGTCCTTACTCCAGCTGGAGGGATGACGGCGCGGCGGAGCAACGAGCGGAACCATAGCCTGAGATGGTGAATCGCGGGTTGTGGTTCTGGGGAATGGAGGAGCGGAAAACTCTATTAGTTCGGTCTGGCACTGTCTTCAATGAGAGCCTAGATGGGAACCCGGTCTCAAAAACTTAGATTCTGATGTCATCCTCAAGACGAGTCCCCTGTACGGGTCGTCGCAGAGAAGAGCACCGAGAGTTTCGAACGACGGAAGAAGGAAGAAACTTCCTAAATTTCATGAGGATCAATGACTCTCATGTTTAAGCGGACTCCGTGGAGAGTTTCCCTTGGTGGCGAAGAATGGAAAAAGGGGAGGGCAAATCGAGACTTTAACGGCCGATAAAACGCAGACGGAGCGTCGCTCCGCGCAAGAGCCTGAGAGTAAGAAATATGGTCCCCTCTGGACACTGATTTTACTATCTGGGACTCTCCGAAGACGTGAGCCCCCTCTGAGAATGTCTCAGGTCTCACCGGAGAGAGACGCGTCCTCTGTCCTCTCGAGAATGAAATGGAGAAACTCGCTTCTACTTCTGAAAGGTGAGATCTCATCCGCCTGATTCTTGAGACATTCCAATTCCTATTCAATAGGAATATTGATTTCGATTCAGCAAAGGAGAAATTATAGTAAAACTGTGGAGTGAGCATTATTTGTCCGAAAGAAGAGACAATCGTACTTCGTAAAGTGAATGGCACGTTCGAGCTTTTTATTTACATCCGGTCAACAGATCATCATCCTCATAGAAGTTTGTGTGTTTCAAAATGGGTGGTTCGATAGATCATTATCGGGCTTCTAAATAATATTCGCAGGGAAAAAAGTGAGCAATAAATGGCGCGTTCGACTAGCAGACTTGTAGATCGATTCAGTCGTCCTTCTGTCTCGTCCCCGTCGATGACGAACTCTCACGGAGCTCCCTTCGCGTAACATAGTCATCTATGTACTTCGCCGGCATCGTTTGGTTAGAGCTGTAGTTATGATACAACAAAGTGCTTCTCGATCTTGCTATATACAGGAACAGTCAACCGCGACCATGAACCTTGAGGCCGGGACCGCGTCGCGTTCGCACAGGGCTTATTTAAATCTACATAATCAATAACTTAACAATCATCGTTTGCAGCGCTAATGTCTCGCTAGGAGTTCCGCTAGCGCCGAGATGTAACTCTGAGCCATTTGAAGAGTCTCGAACTTGGACAGTTTCCGGTCGTTGCCGAGGGAAGGCACGACGTCTCGGAGCTTATCGAAGGCAACATTGAGCGAATGCATTCGGCGACGTTCACGAGCGTTAGCGGCGAGTCGGCGCTTCTTCATCACGGTCGGAGGTGCTCCAGTCGAAGTGTTCTTCTTCGATTTTGAAACTTTCTTATCGTCTCGTGAAGCCTCCGTGGAACCGGTCGAGTATTCACTGCTTGCGTCTTCCATGTCTTGCGACTCGGTGTACATCATGTCGAAGGACTGTTGGGGAGGGCTCTGCGACACTGTGCTGAAGCCCGGGGACGATGATTGCTGTTGATTGAAGCAGTCACCGTAGAAATACGTCGGTTCGGTGGACGCGTACTCGCGGTGTTCGAAGTAGCTTGACACAAGAGCCATTCTGTCTGAGTTAAGGGATCTTGGCACGAAAGGTCCGATTCGAGTCTCCAGAAGTTCCGTGAGACGTTAAAGTAGTCCGGTGGGTCACAAGTGAGGCACTTTCGAAGTCGATCGAAGTCTAATCAACTGTGAAGTTCGCTCTCCTCGCAGCTCGGCTTAAATAAGCCGGACGCGACGAAGATGGAGAGAATGAAGATTTTCTTCTTGCCCGGACCGCCTTCAGCTCCGCCTCCGTCGAAGTCCGTCAGCTATCCAGAGTCCTTCACAGGCAGAAGACTTCAGACGCTCGGCGATGAGCGTCATCGTCCGCGTCGCGTCCGTCGGTCGGAGGCTGAAATCGGCAACTGATAAAAAAAAGACGATTCGAATGCGTATCAAAATTTCTTCACTAGTAGAACGCTCGACCGGACCGTCCGCTGCGCTGTATCCTGGCGTACTCCACAAGTTCATGAGACCGTATCGATGAGAGAGTAGGGTCCGCTTTTTTCCTGGTGGGCCGCAGCCCGGTGATCCTATCGGCCTCTATTAGGGCCGCAGTATTTTACGGAAGGACCAGGATTAGTGGTTCCTTCCCCATGGATGGAGAAATACCCACTTTCTCTGCACCTTTCTCTCTTTCTCGGACCTCGTTCCTGACACCTACTGGTTTGTAGCGATGCGACACGAGCGCTCTGTCGAAGTCCGCGAGAAGTTCACTCGGAGCTGCTCGTGAGACGGCTCCTCGCTGGTCTAACGAGTGGACTTCAGGAATTCTTTCGGCGAGCACGGCGAAAACGGTGAATTCACCGGGGCGCCTTGGAAGGAATTCTGGTCGGTGGCGCGCGGTCTCGTGAATGCTTTCTCCTTCTTCGGGTCGCTCGGTGGCTCGCTCAGTCGGTCGGTCGGTTAGTTAGTCGTTGGTCGTCTGAGAGACACCCCTAATTTAAGCGGCTCTCATGCGCTGGTAGCCACCATAGCGTCGAACCACGAGCGTCATCATCATCATCATGGCGGTGGTGGTTACCATCATCATCGTCATCACTTTCAACATAGAAGGCCATCGTCGACATCATCAGTGCCCTGAGCAGCATCGCTTTTGAGAGCCGATAGTCGCCGGTGTCCGTGTAGTTGTGATCGATGTCATAGAGCACGGTGTCAAAACGTCGTCAAGATCGCGAGAATAGGAGACGAGTATTTAGAGAAAGCACGATCTCCTCTCGCTCCCCATAGGACGAGTGTTAGAGTGAACGATAACGGCTGCGTTCTTACAAAATAAGCGAGACTCTCTGCGGTCTTTCGACGACGAGGACGCAGTTCATTATAGAGGTATCGTTTAGACTCTTTGACACTTCACTTCTGCGGCATTCTTTACAATGGGCATTGTAGATCGACGGGCGGCCGACGACGACAACGAGAAATTGAGTGCGAGAACGCTCGTTCTCAGAATCTCGCACAAAACGAGTCAAGAGGAGATGACAACCTCATCAAGACTTGAACCAGGAGCTCCGAGCGACGATTGTCGTCATCGGGGCGGGGCGCGACGCGGCACTAAATCTCGAGAGTTCCGACCAGAGTCACTTCGAACGTAGAGCGGAGTGTAGTTGGCTTAGCGAGTCGCTTTCGACTCTACGCTAGAGTTCCCCCTTCTCAGTCAGTCAGTCAGTCGGTCGGTCGGTCAGTCCAACGGTTCGTCGGTCGCTCGCTCGGACATTCGGTCAGCGAGAAAGGCTCCGTGGAGGAGAGGAAGTCTCAAGAGTCGTTCGAAGTGAGGACACTCCTCGACTTGAAGTCGCAGCGGATCGAACGTGGAGAGCAACATGGTCGGTCGCTCGGTCGACCGGCCATGCCGACACGACACTATAACAGTGGGCGTTTCCGTCCAAGGGGCGCGAACCCCAGCTTACATTGAACAATCCGTTGTTGTACAAAAGCCACTTTGAAGTCTCAATGAAAATGCGGTTTCGCCCTGAGTTCGGCATTGATACCCCGATGATGTCTGAGAGATTTGTTTCTTCCGCTACAAGTCGGCCGCGTTCGACTTTGTGCCGTGTCTCTCGTCCAAACTTCACAGACGACTGCCGGCATTTGCCGCAGACTGAGAATCGGTTCTCGTATTCGAAAGGCCTTCGGAACCGCTGTGCGCCTGTGGATTCGCACGTACCCGAGGAGAGATCGTAATCCGACGTGAGAGAGATGGAGGTGGAAGCTTCCAAAAAGGGATGCAGGGATCCCCGTGATACGAACCACGCAGTTTGTCGAGGGCTCCGAGCTTGTTTCGATGGACCAAATGAGTGCGCACGTAGGAATCGCATGAGAGGAAGCGTCGGGAAAAAAACCGAGGGGAATGGAAAGAAGCGGACCGCTCCCGTGAAACAGAGCCGAGATTTCCTAGGAGGGGATTTGCTGCGAGATCCGAATTCGAGCGAGGCCAGGGAAAACTGTCCTCCGGATCCTCGGAACTCACTCGGAGTAAATCGACAGTCGTCAAATTGATTTTTTCCCTCTTTTTTTTCTTGCTCCTCCGTTCTGCCTGATTCTCCCTATCTTCCTCATCGCTCCCCTCGAGTCACGCTGTCATGTGATGAAAAGTACTCGTGGATTCCCTCTTTCCAGACGAAAGGGATTTCATCTTCCTCGTCTGGGTCTCCCCTCATCCTATTTTGTCGGTAATCTTTTTTGCTGTTCGCCTCGACTTCGTCGTCACCGTCGTCGCTGCCGCCGTGCTTCCAAAAAGCCCTGCCTACTCTGTCCCTTGTCTTACTTTGCTTCAGCCCTTTTTTGTCTCTATAAGTGGAAAAACATTGTGAGCACAGGAGGAGTTCGCTGAGAATCTCAGTGTACCTCGACCCAACTTCTTCTCCTCACTGTCTTGTTATTTCGATTCAATTTGGTCTCGCGAGCCGCGTAACCGGACTCCCGGGAGACCTGACACAACTCAGTTCAGTCAGTGGTCCCTGCAGCGCTGTTGAATACAAAAACGAAGTCATGCCTGTGAGCGGAGAAGCTCGGAACTCCGAAATGTGAGCTCCGTGGTTCAAGCCCCGTTGTGGCCGATAGGGGAAATCAGTGCTGGTGGTCTATCGAATTAAGGTGCCATCGTTGTATCATGGGGGGTCTTCAATGCGAGTGACGAAAGAAGGCGCCTATATCAGAGGTTTGCAACTCCGAGAGTCAATACATCAGGTCATTCTGTTTTGGGAAGTCTATTCACAAGTCGTTTAAACGACGACTAAGAAAGCCAAATGATTGAGTAGACTAGCCTATTGAATAGCGGAGCTCGATAGCTTGTTGGCGACAAGCACTCGAGATCGAATCTCCGAGCGATCATTGTTGCAAGCGTCGCGAGCAAGTCCTAATGGAGCGTAATGAGATCGGTGGCGAGTCCGTAGCGGCTTCCCTCGACGAAGGATATCGACGAACTTCTGAATCGAATTCAGACTGGTCGGTTTCGGCTCTGAATTTATTTCGTACTGGAAGATGCTGGCCCGGATCGAAACACTCGACAACTCGACGGAACGAAGGTCCTCAACAGGCTTTTCTCATTTAGATCGAGCGAGACCTACACCCTGCCCTTGCATTGTTGATTAGGGATACGCGACAGCATTTGTGATTCGGATACCTTTTCCCTTGTGCCTGAAGTCATCTGTTTGTCTACCTCCTTGCCGACGAATGTAAATTCATTTGGGTATGCTTGTGAGCAGAGCTTCTTCAATGAACGAATGTAGCGGGTCTGAGCCGCCGCCGTCTTCGTCGTCGACGCATGTATGCTCGCTGCCTAGCTTGCAGAGCCGTTGGGACGGCGAACGACGGTGAGTTCAAACCGTGGGGCTCAAAGACAGCATCTGGCATGCGACTAGAGTCAGTCACTCACTCACTGACTGAAAGGAAAAGAACGAACGACAAAAAAAAGCTGATACAGCCGATCAGGCGGTCGCGCGACTGCGCGTTGCCGACGTCATTGAACTGCTCGCGCGCGCATAGACAACGGCCGCAAATCAAACACTTGAACTTCTGAGCTCAGATCACATTCGGAAAGTGAACTCGGCGGTGGAACTCACCTCAACACGATGCGGGCGCAGTTATTGTGGCAAAAAAATAGCAGCGAAAAAAATCAAATCAAATCCAGGGCGTCCCTAGGCCTGTCGAAGGTCAACCACTGCCTGATCGACTCAGGTCGACACCGACCGACGGTGCCGCTGGTTTTCATGACGCGGGAAGCGAGATTATTCGCTTTCACTTTTTCCTCGCATGAGTTTCCGCGATCAGCGCACGGGTCGCCCGTCAATCATCGACTCATCTCATGCGATTAGTCGATAGCTTCATTACGGCTTCGGATCGAAAGAGAGAAGAAGAGAGCAGTCGTGAGGGCTGAGAGGAGGTTTTTCGTCGTACCGTTCGGATCCACTGAGCTTATTCGGTCAGAATGACGTCCGGGTCTGTCGGAAACAATTTCTTGATCATCTATGAGCACTTTCCATGCCTGTCGAGCACAGGCCAGATCCAGAGCAAAGTCAGGCTGAAAGCGATTCGTCGACGTTCGGCCCAGAGCGTACGTATCCATGAGTACCACATACAAGGAGAATGCATTCCCTCGCCGCAAGCAGTCTGTGTCCGAGCAGAGAATAATGACTCAATCGGACCAATATTGAGAATGAAGTGGCAGAAATTTTATTGAGAAATATATCATTTCATTCCGAATCGTACCGGATTGTCTTTCTTCAACGATTTCTGGATTCGTTCTGCCTGGCGGCAGCCGCAGTCTCTGAAAATTGTGACAATTATACGACGCTCAAGAGGGGAAGAGACACAGCGGGTAGAGAGAGGGATCGAGGAACATGGAAAGCATCGGAAGAAGAAGCGATGTCACTGTATCCTAATAGAAACGCCCATCAGAACTTGCGGTCCGCGCCGACGTCGTTGTTGATATTAATTCGGTAGTTTTGGTCTTCGGTCGGCCGACCATTCTCTCTTCCTCGGTATCGGTTCGGCAGCGGAGACGTGAACGAGCGAGCGAGCGGAGG